CTGGCCCCAATAATTGAGGCAGTTATGAAGGAACAGAAAGGGAGGAAACGTAACATCCAGGAAATGGCGCTATCATCGACTCTTCCTCCGGAAGAGCCAACAGTCAGCAGACGAAGGAAAGATGTTAATGTTAACGAGGCGGAGGAGACCAGCCGTAAGGGGTCCCCCAAGGATCCATGAAGATAATCACGTGGAACTGTCAGGGTATCGGGGGTGACCTGACAGTAGACAATCTGCTGGAGCAGAACCGGCTTCACACCCCTGACATGGTTATTCTGCTGGAAACTAAGAATAAAAGTCAGAATTTCATCCATCTGAAAAGAAGTTTGGGTATGGACCACTGGTTTATTGTTGAGCCTCGGGGCATTGGAGGTGGCATATGTGTTTTCTGGAGAGATGATACTCCTGTGGTGTTAATGAAATCGGAGGATTTTTTTGTGGAACTCAAGCTGTGGGATGAAAAGATGAACTGTAACTGGAGATTATTCGGCGTTTATGCTAGTACTGATGAAAAGAAGAGAAGGGAGCAATGGCAAGAATTATCAAAACGCATAGGCCAAGAAAGGGACCGCTGTCTGCTCATAGGAGACTTCAACGACAACCTTTGTAACGATGAGAAGGAGGGAGGAAACTACAGACCGGCTGTGAGCCTTCGGGACTTTAGAAATTTTATGGCTCGAGAGGAGCTCATGGACTTGGGTTACGAAGGATACCCCTTCACTTGGAGAAATAATAGAGAGTCGATGCCTATCCAGCAACGCCTTGACCGTGGGATGGCAACTATGGGTTGGTACGAAATGTACCCCAACACAAAAATTAAGCATGTGCTCTTGGAAGGATCAGATCACTCCCTCTTACTCCTTTCGACAGAAAAAGAACTGAACAGAAAGGGCAGACAATTCTCTTTCGATGGGCGATGAAGCAAATCGGAGGAATGTCGGACTCTGGTTGGGGAAGAATGGCGTGACAAGATTAAAGGATCACATGCGTTTCGCTTTTGCGATAAACTGAAACATCTAAGGAGAAGATTAAAAGTCTGGTACAAAGGAAGAGGCAGGAATTCTGCGAAGATGATCCTGCAACTGAAAGAAGAGATTCGGGTGGCCTATATCTCTAACGAATTTGCCTCAAAGGAGGTTAAGCAAAAAGAGAAGGAGTTTATTGCTGCTCATCGGCAGGATGAGACTTATTGGAAAGTAAAATCTAGGAATCAGTGGCTGCGAGAGGGCGACAAGAACACTAAATTCTTCCATGCTCAAACACTGAAAAGGAGACGTTTCAACACGATCCGGGGGATAGAGGACGGTCGTGGGATCTGGCAGCAGAGTTTGAAGGGGATAGGTGATACTGCTATCGAATATTTTTCTGACCTCTTTCAGTCCTGTAAGCCTAATCTTGTGGAGGAAATTCAAAGTTGTATAGAGAGCCGGCTCTCCATAGAGGATAACCAGGGATTAACTGCTATGGTCACCGATTGCGAAATTATGGAGGCTGCATACCAAATCCCCCTTACGCGGGCTCCGGGCCCTGATGGCTTTTCTGGCTGCTTTTACCAGGACCACTGGGACACGGTCGGGCCGGATGTAATCAAGATTGTCAAAGCATTTTGGCACTCGGGAACCCTTCTTCGTAAACTCAACCATACAAACCTAGTATTAATCCTGAAGATGAAGTGCCCTAAAAACATGTCGCAATACAAGCCCATTGCCTTATGTAATGTCATTTACAAGATCATTGCCAAGGTCCTCACTAATAGGCTTAAGAGGGTGATGCCGAAAGTGATTGGGAGAACCAATCTGCCTTCGTGGCGAGGAAGCAAATTCAAGACAATATCCTTGTGGTACATGAAGCCCTCCACTCCCTTATCCACCAGAAATCAGGAGACCATCCTGGTATGGCCATAAAGCTTGACATGGCTAAGGCTTACGATCGAATTGAATGGGAATTCCTCCTGGGCATGATGTGCAGTTTGGGTTTCGCGCCTCTTTTCTGTAAATGGATAAAGGAATGTATTTCTTCTGTATCTTTCAGTGTTCTTATAAATGGTTCCCCAACGGGGTTCTTCCGGCCGAATCGGGGTCTTAGACAAGGTGATCTTCTATCCCCTTTTCTCTTCCTTCTCTGCACTGAAGGGCTCTTAATGCTAATTAGGAGAGGCTTGGAAAGGGGTGTCCTCCACGGGTTCAAGATTTCCTTCGCGGGAGCTCCCCTAACGCATCTTTTCTTTGCGGATGATTCTGTGGTTTTTGGAAATGCGTCTGTAGAGGAAGCGGAAAGTATTGTGGAAGTGTTAAAGACTTATGCTCGAGGCTCTGGTCAGGAGATTAACCTGACCAAAAACTCTGTCTTCTTCGGTGCTAATACTTCGAAGAAAATGAGAGCTAACATCGTGGACTCCCTGATGATTCAAAGCAAATAGGGATTTGGGAAATATCTGGGCCTGCAGGCCGATTTTGGGCACTCAAAAAAAGCTGTCTTTGGCGAGATTCGGGACAAGATTGAAGCTCGCATGTCAGGGTGGGCTGAGCAGTTTCTGTCCCAGGCGGGCAAAGAGATCCTGGTGAAAACTGTAGCTATGGCGTTGCCTAACTACGCTATGAGCTGCTTCAAACTCCCCATTGGCGTTTGTCGGGACGTTGAAAGAGCCATCCGGAATTACTGGTGGCGTGGTAATGAACAAAGGAAGGGTATTCATTGGATTTCCTAGGATCGGTTGATGAAACAGAAAAAGGCCGGTGGTTTGGGATTCAAGGACATCCAATGTGTCAACCTTGCTTTTCTTGCTAAGATTGGATGGCGAATCACCCTGAATCCTATGTCCCTCCTTGCTTCGGTCTTGAGAGATAAATACTTCCCGGGGAAATCCTTTGGAGAAGCGCCTAAAGGAAAGAACACCTCATAGGGTTGGAAAGGCCTGTTTGAAGCTCGGAAAGTGTTAAACCTTGGGCTCAGATGGCGGGTTGGAAACGGGAAAAGCATCAACATTAGGGAGGACCCGTGGTCCCCAAACCCGAAACTTTCAAGGTCTGTCCGATGAATAATCTCGTTGAAACCATGGTAAGTGATCTGATTGACTCAGATACTAAGGTATGGAGAACGGACTTGATTGCAAACGGGTTTCACCGGGGCGATGTTTCAACGATCTTAAGCATTCCCTTAAGTCATGTTGGCAGTAATGACAGGCTAGTGTGGCACTATGCTACTAATGGGATATATTCCGTTAAATCGGGTTATAGTATGGCTTTAAAGTTAATGGATGATAGTGCTCTGGGAAGAAAAGGGCGTGGCAACCCCAGTGAGAGTAACAAACTAAAGATGGTATGGAATAATATCTGGAGACTGCAGGTTCCTCACAAAATCAGAATCTTCATCTGGCGTTGCTGTAATAATGCTCTGGCGGTCAGACGGAACCTTAAAAGACGTCATATGCGTGTTGACAACGTATGTGGCGTTTGTATTGCCGTCAACGAAACTGAAAACCACCTGTTCTTCCGATGTGAGATAAGTCATGTCTTCTGGTTTTGCTCTCCTCTTCATCTTAATTCTCATGTCCTGGAGGGTAGAGACTTTCTTGAAAGCTGGTGTAACTTCTGTGACCAAGTAAAGGACAGGATCGATGCGGATGATATTCGTCATGATTTTGCCTTTGGCCTATGGAGATTGTGGAAAAACAGGAACGATGTGGTTTTTAAAGGGATCTATCGTCAGCCTCTGGATATCTTGGAGGCCTGGAAAAAGAGCACCGGTGAGTACAAGGCCAGTCTGGCTCCGGATCAAGAAGATCACAGCTTGAGGATGCCGAAGACTATCATGGTCAGTGATCGTATATGTACCAAGTGGAAGAGACCAAGGTTTGGAACTATTAAGATAAATACTGATGCGGCGGCTTGGTGTAAAGATACTCTGCGTATGGGGGTGGGCTGGCTGGGGCGGGATTTCGCTGGTTTGCTCCAGGCTGCTGGCGGGTCTGGGACTGGATTCAGCCACAGTGCAGCTGCTGCTGAAGCTTCTGCCATCAGGTTTGCCTTATTGTCTTGCATAGACCATGGGTTTGATGACATTATCATTGAATCTGACGCAAGTACGATTATTATGATGTTGAAGAAAGAAATCTTGGTTGATTTTAGTATCGAATGCATTCTTGATGACATTGAGATTCTAGCGCAAAAGCTGAGGTCTGTCTCTTTTGCTTTTGTGCCTAGAGAGGGCAACCGTGCTGCTCACTCGGTGGCTAAGTATGTATTCAAGGAGGGACGTTCTTTCTCTTGGGATTGTATTGGCCCTGAATTTCTGTTTAATTTCCTTGCTAAGGATGTAAACCTTTCTATTCGTCTTTAATATATTTCTATCTTTCGTTAAAAAAAAAAAATACTGCACAAATTTGTGATAAGTTGATGACTAAAGATGACTGCCTTTTGTAAAGCAGTTTTTGACTTTTCTGCATTCTTTTATATAGTTTTTTCTTTTTTTCTTCCTATTTTGTTAGATTAGATAGATAGGGGTGCTGATAAAGAAAAAGTATTTTTGCATTTTGCTGCACGTGATGTTGAAGGTATACAATGTTCAATGACTGAACCCTATTCCCTAAGCATAATTATACAATAGCTACACACAAAACATTGAAAGTATACATGCGTGCAGTAAGAATGAATGGTAAAAATGCCATGTTCCTTTTAACATTGCGAATTACCGAGCTTTCTGGAGGGAGTATAAATACGAATGCTCTTGGTGGCCTTCATTTAATTTCTTACTAATTTCATCTCAATGTTTTGGAACTTTTAACAGCCCTCTCACCAAACATAAAATTTTTAGGAGCACGCAGCACCTGTAATTAAAAAAATGCCTCTTTTGCATGCGCGTTAGCGCGTGCGGAGATGTTAGCAATTTATAAAGTAAGCGACAGGAACAAAGAGATTGAGGACATATGATTGGCGACAAAGAAAAATATTAGAACGACAGGAACAAAGAGATTGAGGACATATGATTGGCGACAAAGAAAAATATTAGAAAACAGAAACCAGTTGTCAGTTGACTGACTCAGACTCTTTTACCAGTCAACCCTTCACATTTCCACCTAACCCGAAAACTGTAGCTTCTAGAGGATGAGGAAGGCTTCGTGGAGGCTGGGCACAGGAGGAGCATCCATATCCGCTCCATGGTCCGCCACCAACTGCCACCGGATTCGAGCAAAACTGGCCTGAATCCGACTGATCAGTAATTTAGATCGAATCGAATACGAGTTTTCTGTTTTTTGCGTGTAGGGAGTTTACGGATGCTCGTATATCATGGCAGTGGCGTTGGTTGGAGGGGCTGCGATAGGAGCACTGTTTGGAGTACTGTATGATGTCGTAAAGGAATCGATGGGAAGGACTGTTATGCAGTACAAACCCCTCCTTGAAGATCTCAAGTTCACACTTGACTGTTTACGACCGCGGATCATCCAAGAGATAGGGGATCATAACGTGGCACTGGGTCTCCCAAACGATGACATAGAACGTCTCCAACAACAAATGGAGGAGGGTATAAAGCTCGTTGGCAGGTTATCGAAGCTTAGCATGTGGAACTGCTACGTCTTATGCAGTTGCTGCAAATGCTCGAAGCCGAGCTACACCGATCGACTTATTCAGTTGGATAGGTCTCTTAAAGCACTGTTAGAAGTGCTGAGGTTGCAGGAAGCAAGGGACATGAAGGAGAACTTGCTTTTGAATAGGAAGATATACGAAAAACAAGATGAATTGGCAACAAGGCAGTCGGAAATACTGAAAATTGCTGGGGAGATACTGCGAGCGCAGCAGGAAGATAAGGGTGTGCAAGAGCCTTCAGGAAGTAGTACACAAACTGTGGTGCAGGAGCAAATTGGAGGCAGTGGTGTGCAGCAAGCGGCATCAATAAACAGAGGAGGAGCTGCTCTAGGAGCAGCGTTTGAGGTACTATTTAGTGCCGTTCAACAAACGAAGGAGAAGACGAGGATGTTTAAACGCATCCTGGGACATCTCGAGTCCATGCTAGACTCTATAAAGCCATTGATAGAAGAGATTGCAGAATATAACAAGGTATTGCATCTTACAGAGGAAGAACTAGAAAGTTTTAGAGTAGAGATGGAGACGGGTGTAGAGCTCGTTCGCAAGTGCTCAAAGGTTAGTCTTTGGGCAAGCAACAAAAAGTATGAATATACCAACAAACTTCTTGGATTAGATGAATCTCTTCAAAGATTGATAAATATACTGAGAGTGCAACTAGCAAGGGATGCGACAGAAAGCTTGGTTTCGGTAACTAATATAGAGACGGTGACCATGAAAATTGAAGAGAGTGGTATCATACAATACGATCCATTAGTTGAACTTCCATCGGGGTACGGGGGAGAGTCTTCAGGAAGTGGCGCAGAGACAACACCGCATGAACAAAATCGAGAGAATGGTGGACAACAAATGGCGCCGTCAGGTGAAGGAGTAGGGGCTGCTGCTCTAGGAGCGGCGTTAGCAAGGGATGTGAGGGAGAGCTTGGTTTCGGTAAGCAATATAGAGGCGGTGATCAATCAAATTGAAGGGAGTGGTGTGGTAAAATTACAAAATGAGCAAAATGAAGCTAAAGGTTCATGTGAAGTGCCCGCAGCCATGGCTAAGAGTGAAGTACGATTGAATGCACTAAGTGTGGAGGGAACAAGGGACTTGACTGAGACATTGGATCCGGAAGCGAATATAATGGTAGGGTGGCAAAATGTTGAAGACAGTTGGGTGGCACAAAGTAAAACTGAACATCCATCTCGTACACTTGGACTGGATGCGATGAACATGCAGGTGGGAGCAAGGAGTATGGAGGAGACCTCTGTAAGTCATGTAGAGGAGGGGCTAAAGCGAATTCAGTGCGAAGAAGTATCCGAACCTGATGCGCCATTTAGGGAATTGAAGGAGGATGTTCTTAAGGATGAGGAAGATGAGGAACTTGATGTGCAAGTGGAAGATCATCATGACAGGAAGAAGAAAGGAGCTGAGTCTGTGACAGGTGCAAGTGGAGTCAGGATGGCGATTTGTAAAGCTGATGGGTGTGCAGTCGATCTGAGTGATGCAAAGGTGTATAATAGAAGGCATACGGTGTGCGAACTTCATTCAAAGGCTCCACTTGTGATTGTGTCGGGTCTAAAGAGAAGGTTTTGCCATAAATGCAGCAGGTTTGGCCTCTCCACCGTGTTTTATAATTATCGCACTGCAAATATTTTTGCTTCTATGATTTCTGTCTGGTTTGGTTTTCGGATTTCAGTCTTAATAATTTAGTTAGTTGTCCTGAATCTAAATGTTGTGTTGTAGATTTCATGATCTATCAGAATTTGATGACACCAAACAAAGTTGTCGTAGGCATTTGCCCTACATTGAACGTGATGGTACATGCACTCAAGTAAAGGACGTAAGTGGTGATATAGATACGGTGATTAGTCAAATTGAATGGAGTGGTGTGGTACAATCACAAAATGATCAAAGTGAAATTAAAGATTCATGTGCAGTGGTCGAAACCACATCACCAGCAGTTGGATTGAATATATCGAGTGTGAAGGGAACAAGGGATGTAAAGGAGACATTGCAGACCTCAGCAAGTAATACAGAGGCAGGACTGGAGCAAATTCAGGGGAAAGAAGTGCCTGATTTTGAACCTCCGTACGCTGAATATAAGGAAACTGAATACATACCTTCATCGGTTACAGTTGGCTTGGATGTGCTTTTGAGAGGATTGAAGAGGTTTCTTCTTTATGATGAGGTGTCAACGGTTGTGCTAACGGGTCCTCAAGGAAGTGGGAAAACCACATTGGCAAAATACTTCTGTGCAGATGAGGAAGTTAAAAACATATTCAAGAACAACATCTTCTTTGTTCTTGTTTCAAAAAATCCAAGCTTGAGCCTTATGGTACAAACACTACATCAACAGATTGAACCCAAGGGTTTCCAGATACCTGCGTTGCAAGACGAATCAATTGCACTTCACTGGTTGCACCAATTTTTCATGGAAACAGCACTGCACCCATCAGTGTTGGTCTTGGATGATGTTTGGCCTGGATCAGAATCCCTTCTTGACAAGTTTGATGAATTCAAAACACCAAACTACAAGATTATAGTGACATCAAGGTCTGAATTTCCAACATTTGGTTGTCCATATTATCTGAAATCACTGAATGCTGAAGATGAGATGACTCTTCCTCATCAATCCCACACACACATCGAATCACTGGATGATGAAGACCTGACAAGTGTTTCTCCGCCACCCTCCGTCACATTTGATGATAAAGGCCTGATAGATCATTTTCCTGATTCCTCTGCGTCCAACTTGGGAGACAGACGCTCTCATGTTTCAACACCTATGGGGCCAATGGATCAATTTCAGGATTCCTCGGCATCAACCTTGGGAGATAAGAGCTCGTGCGTTCCAAAAGATGCAGGGACAATGGTGAGTTCTTAGTCTGCGATGCACGCCTACAAATTCTTATGGTTTTGTTTTTTTGTTGGTGTAGCCGTGTTCATACTGTTAGCAATATGGCTCAGGTGCTTATCCAACTTTGACATTCTCTCTTTCTTTCAATTTAGTTTCCGCTTGACAACCTCGTCAAGTCTACGCAGACATATATGCAGAAGCTGGTATTCAAGGTCAAGAAAGAAAAGAAGAAAGCCATGAAAGCTGTTTCTGGTGTTGAAGGTATTCTAATATTTCTTGCCTAGTTTTGTTTACAGCACTTCATTCAAGGCCAGTTTTAATGTAATAAAACCGTTTCATTTTTCGTTTCCATTAATTGTTCGGTTGATTTGGATGAGCAGATCTTCTCGGGCGAAAAAAAAAAGAATCGGCCCTTGATGTTTATATCGACAGTCGTAACCAATCAGGAACTGCCAAAGGCTGGAAGCTAATAGGTGCCCGGGAAGCATTAAGCATCAACCTCGCGACATTTGAGAAGCCCCTTCAAAAGCTCACTTTTGCAGATCTTCTTGAGGCCACCAATGGTTTCCACGATAACAGCCTTATTGGCAAAGGTGGTTTTGGTGATGTATACAAGGCCCAATTGAAAGATGGCAGTGTCGTAGCCATAAAGAAACTAATACATATCAGCGGACAGGGTGATCGCGAATTCACTGCAGAAATGGAAACAATAGGGAAGATCAAGCACCGGAACCTTGTCCCCCTCCTTGGATACTGCAAAGTAGGAGAAGAACGGCTTTTGGTTTATGAGTACATGAAATATGGAAGCTTAGATGATGTTTTACATGAACCGAAGAAAGCTGGCATCAAGTTGAACTGGGCTGCAAGGAGGAAGATTGCCATTGGGTCTGCGAGGGGACTGGCCTTTCTTCACCACAATTGCATCCCACACATCATTCACAGGGATATGAAATCGAGCAATGTGCTGGTGGATGAAAATTTAGAAGCCAGAGTCTCCGATTTTGGAATGGCAAGGCTTATGAGTGCAATGGACACCCATTTGAGTGTGAGCACTCTAGCAGGCACCCCTGGTTATGTCCCTCCTGAATACTACCAGAGCTTTAGATGTTCCACGAAAGGTGATGTTTATAGTTATGGAGTAGTATTGCTTGAACTGCTAACGGGAAGACGTCCTGCAGATTCAGCAGATTTTGGCGACAATAATCTCGTGGGTTGGGTAAAACAACACGCTAAATTGAAAATAAGTGATGTTTTTGATCCGGAGCTCATGAAAGAGGACGCAAGCCTTGAGATTGAGCTTTTACAGCACTTGAAGGTAGCTTGTGCTTGTTTGGACGACAGGCCATGGCGGCGTCCGACAATGATCCAAGTGATGGCAATGTTCAAGGAAACCCAAGCCGGGTCTGGGATGGATTCCCAATCAACGATAGCCACGGACGACGACGGAGTTTTTGGCGGAGTTGAAATGGTAGAGATGAGCATGAAAGAAGTCCCGGAAAGCAAGCAGTAGGCCGGGATAGGCAGAAGGCTGTTATCGTCAGCTTTCTCATAAGGAGTACGAGAAAAGAGAGGAGGAAGAGAGAGAGATTCATTACGCCCAGGTGACAGCAGTAAGAAATCTCTCTTCCGGCTCCTCCGGTGGCTGTCCTTGTATTTTGTTTGTAATCTACATAACGATAAAAGGGAACTAAAGAAGCAATCATCCAAGAACGCAGCTTCAGATGCCAACGATATCAAAGGTGTAGAACCAATACTGTAAAGGTTTCAGATAGCAAAACAGAAAACAGGTGTTAATTGTTGTACTGTGTTCCTGCTAGGGTGTATCCATTTGCATTTTCTAAGACATTCATTTTATTCTTAATTATCTTTCAGTTTTGGTACATCCATTTGCTTTTAGGTTTATATACGATGCCGCGATCGTTAGTTGGGTTATATACGATGCTGTGAACTACCTTATTTCTTGGAAATGAAAAATTCGAGAATCTGGCACATTGCTGATTGTATAAATCGCCCAAAACAACCTGACTCTAGCACTACAAACATATTCTCTAACATTTCAGATCTTCGATTTGCCCGTCAGGGACGGGAGACGCGCGACAACCATGTCAAGAAGAAAGTAGAGCTTGCCAATAAACCAATCAGGTAACTCTGATCCCCGACTCCAGACGAAAGTACTGAAACTGGTTGATGTTTCTTATGGAGGAAAGGATGGTTTCAATCAGGCTGTTAAGTTGTCGGCGGAGTTTCTGTCCAATGTGAAATTTATACAGGAGCACAACTTGCTAGGAAGACCCTTTGGAGAGGTTAACCATGGGCGTAGATGACACGCTAAAGGATTTGGAGATGGGAGCGATTAACACACTTATTGTGAGGGAAGATCTTGACAGCAAATAGGTATGTGTTAAAAGAATTCGTTGACCGATGAGATTGTTGTAAAACATTTCGACAAGGAGCAGGGAAACAATAAGAGCAACTTTTGAGATCTTGCCAGCCAAGGAGATCTAGAGGTTCAGGGGAGGATCTCACTGCTGAAATGGTCTGCTGACGAGCACACGCGTTTTGGTTGTGATCTTAAGTTTGTCACCAACAAATCACATAAGGGTCGCAGTTCTGTCGAGGTTTAGGAGGCATTGGAGGGTTACTGAATGAATTATTCACATCTTATTCAAATTAGTAACATGCCGGTTCCAGATACAATATTCACACAACAGACACAAGAGGAATCCACAACGAACAACAACAATTGAATTTTTCAATTGTTAAAAATTTGACAAGATAATTAAGCACGAGCATCCATACACTTACATTTGACATGCAGATGGATGAACTTGAAAGCCTTCACAGATGCTACCAGTCTTCCTTGACTATCTTCGATTTCTCGAGAATGAATTTCCCTTCCTTGTACTTCTGTGTTTGCTCATAGGCCCCTTCATACTTCCAACCCAGCACCTCATGGCAGTCGCAGCAGGAGACATCAGCGACCGTGTGAAGACCAGTCATGAGTTGTCTGTCTTCTTTTGGCCCGACTGTAATGTTCATTGCATGTGAAAACAGAAACGCTCGACCATTTCTACCCTATGATTTAATAAAATAGATAGTCGAATCATGTTTCTTGCAATCTACTCATCATACTCAAATCCTGAAGACTATCATTTACACACACAATAACCATATGAACACAACGCAGAAAATAGAAACTCTCAACCAAACACAAGACAACCACTCGGCTCCTGGCATAGATAACCGAGTACAAATTGAATCTTCATTTCATTTTCAACATGCAAAATCTTTATTCCTCATTTACTCCAAATTCCAAATGTAGGGAAAAGTAGACACCAATTCATCTCAAAACAAGAACGGAGATTCGTTAGTTAATTGAGAGAAATGGGTCGAGGCCAGAGACGAGAGAGCTTCTTCCTATCTCTGCTTTCCCAACACGAAGATTGCTTCTCTCTCTCTGCCTCAAGAATCAAGTTTCAAAACCAAAACAAAAGCTTTGTGATTTTAGTTTCCAAAAAAGCTTTGTGCTTTTCTCCCAAACCGACAAGGCATCACCATCACATGCCTTTTCCATATTATTTTATTTTTGTGCCTTTGCTAGTGGAACCGAAAGGCTTTGCTTTTTATTTTATTTTTTCATTGTTCTTTGCAGATGTAGCGCTGGAAAGTAGGAACAAAGGCAAAAGCTAAAGAAGATTTCGGGACTTCGGGAATACCGAAGAAATGAAATTTGAAAACCAATCCCATACCGAATTTTTCGGTATTTTTCGGTACGGGATTACCAAAGTTCGGGATTGTTTCAGTTTGGGTTTGGGATTTTTTTGGTTTGGTTTGGGAATTTCGGGAATTTTTTCCAGCCCTACTGAAAATGCACGAGATATCGAAGATGTGAAGATTAAACGTATGGATTGAAAATGCACGAGATATTGAAGATGTGAAGATTAAACGTATGGATTAACATTGATTAAGAGTTGTACCTGACCAGTGTGCCATGGTGACTTTAGAGAGAGAGAGAGAGAGAGAGAGAGAGAGAGAGAGAGAGAGAGAGAGAGAGAGAGAGAGAGAGAGAGAGAGAGAGTTTAATCGTAGTAGCAGAAAAGGAGAGATGAGTCAGTGTTTGGTACGTGAAACGGGACGGGATGGGCTGGGATGAGATGTTTCGTCCAACGTTTTGGTGCACTTAAAATAGGTGGAACGTGCTGTTCCACGGGACGAATTTTGGGTGAATTTTCGTTCCATCTCACCCCCTGGAACGACTCATTCCATATCTGTGAAACACAAAATTATAACCTCTCCGTCTCATTCTTCTTCCTCCTTGCTTCCATGCGAGGGCATCTTTGTTCCTTCTTCGTTCCGTCCCATCCTGTCCCGTTGGTCCCGTTCTATTCCGTTCCATCCTGTCTCGTCTGCATACCGAAGGATACCTATTTGAACAATAACAGTTAAGTCATATCAACATCTTATATTAATTTTATATAGAAATATAAAGATAAAATAGAGAATTTGAGAGGATGAGAGGGAAGGAGATGGAAAGATGAGAATAGAGAATCCTACCCTTGTGTCTTATGATACGAGGTTGTTTTAGGAATGATAATGGGTGGAGAAATAGGGTTTTAATTTTTTAACTTTTGGTGGCGGGTGGGGTTATAACGTGGGTGAAGAAATAAGACATTAGGGTGGGTCTAGTGTCACACAGAAAACACCAAACAGTGAAACCCTAAAGAAGCTACAATCTCTGTAGCTACTGCCTCCGCGACTTAGCTCTTACTCCATGCCACGATCAACACAATTTGTCGCCCCCTCGACTGCTTGCAAGTGTCCCATTCTTGAGTAAAAGTATTCTTCTAGGACCACCACAACAACAACAATCACTGCCACATGACATAGGAAGTCCACAAGAAGAAATATCCCACATGCAACATCGCTAACAAAGGAAAACAGTAGGAAAGGCCAACAAGGGTCAACAAAGGTGATGATGCGAACACTCAAGCCGAAGCTCTACACATCCTCTCTAAATTTCGCGACAAATTGCAAAAAACAAAAACGGTAATCGATCAAACTTGTAAATGGATGGGAAGATGATGGAACCCACTGATGAAGATGATGGGGAGAGATGAACTGTGGGAGATGGAAGAAACTAGTGATTTGGATTTGGGGTAAAGTTATTGAAATCAAAGGCAAGAAGAGCAGTAAAGTGATGACAGTTGCCACCGACCCTAGCCACGACTACGGTCAGTGGCGACAAGGAAAGACTAAAGACATGTCATTTCACCTAATTATCTACCACATGTCTTTTTACTTAATTCTAGTTAACTTTTACATTAAAAGTTACTTTTACAATTTTCAAAAAAATTAACCAAGGTTAAATGAAATGACACGTGACAGATGATTGGGTGTATAGTAAGCATACACTATAATTTATGTTTATGATCGTAAGTAAACACTCACTTAGTCATTAGAGAAATTTCGATCATTTAATCTCAATAAAATAGTAGAATTACAAGAAATGAGTTCATTCACAGAATAGTGAGAAGGACTCTCACCGAAAGAGAGAGAAAGACTTTCACCGACACTATTTATATAGTTTTGCATTCATTATCATGCCTACATTTAGGACCCTTACATAAATTAAAGGCAGTGTCTCGTGCACATTATTATTTTATAAATTAAAGGCGAGTGGCCATGTATTACAATGATGAAAAAGAGTTGAGTTTTTGTATGACAGCATAGTTTCAAACCTTTTAGATGGCTAATCTAACAAATTTTATCATTTTGACAAAACAAAAAAAAACAAAAAAAAGAGAGAGAGAGAGAGAATTTCGATGCAACTCTAAAAATATAAGTTTAAGGCGGTCCATCATGCATATAATAATTTTAACTACTTAATTGTTTATTTCATTAGAGCGACAAACATTTTTTTATGAGACCATTTTTTTTTTTGGAAAACTTGGAATTACATTCCAAAGCCGAGAAGCCCAAAGGTACATGAAAGCCTACGAAGAGGTAAACACCAAGAAAGGCACAATGAAAACCACAGCAATGAAATGCGATACAACTAGAAGACGCATCAACCAAGTTGAGCGTCACCCCTAACATCGCACAATAAATCAATGCGCACATGGAAGACCATCCTTGTTCAAAACTTGTACCAACGAAGATGGGGGCCTGTCGACCCAAACACGATCACACATCTCCGGAAACCAACTGACGTAAGAAAATCTGCCGCCAGATTGACTGATCTTGGCACCCAAGACTAGCAACAGTTCTGGAAAGCCCCACTCAACTGTTTGACTCTTGCCAAGGTAGGGAAAGCCTCTCCTAACTACCATTATCAATAGAACCAGAAAGACAAGATATAGATTCAAGAGAATCCGATTCGAAATTTACTACCTAATTCACATCCACGCAGCAACATCATTGCTTCTGTCGTAGCCACATTAGGAGCCTGAATAGAGTACCTTGCTGCAACCACAAACGGCCCCCTTGCAGCTCGCATGACCACCCTAACAAAACGCATTTTAGAAACCTTGGACCAACTAGCATCAACATTAATTTTTGTAAATGGAGATGTAGGAGCCAACCACCTAGGTACTTGAATCTGCAGCGTAGTAACCATCGACCCACCAGTCCCTGATAGCTCCACCGCATCCCAATAACAATCTACTGCAGTTGGCAACTCTAACAACACCCTAGTGGGATTAATCGGTACCTGATTGAACACAAAATCATAACGAGCTTTCCAAATCAACCAATAGGTGAAAACAACATATGATTAAACCCACTTCCTATCAATCGTGGACCCAAGGTTGAGAGACAAAACTACCTGCAATCAACTTACCCACGAATGAATACCAGCTCTATCAACCATGTAGTTAAGAGCACCGCCAAACCAAATTACTTTCACCCACGGACAAAAGAGGAATAGATGCTCAATAGTTTCAGCATGACAAAGACAAATGGGGCAAATTGGGGAAGGGGAAGAGCGCTTGTGAAAAAGAACCGCTTTAGTTGCAAGACCATCGTGCAACGATAACCAAATGAAATGACAAATCTTTGGAGGCCTGTGAAACCGCCAAACAACTTTCCATAAAGCTTTCGGAACTAACCTAGCACCTAACTACCGTTGATCCTTCAAACCAAGTATTATCGATTGAAGCCAACGGTACCTCGACTTAACTGAGTACTTACCAGTCTTGCTAGTTTCCCAGACTAACCGATCCTTACTGCTCAAATCACCAAGTGGGTAGCCTTAATAGCTGCTTGATCCACTGAAGATATAAACGGCTGCAAAAATCCAATGTCTCACTCATGGGACTCTGCCCATATAAGAGAATTGACCCGCAAGTTGGGAGTAATCGGAACCTCACCAATCGGCATCGAATACTCTGCAGGTAAAGATGGAAGCTAACAATACATCCAAACTCGCACATCCATGTCGCCTATGATTTGCCAATGAAATCCATTTCGAAGTAACTCCTATCCAATTAGTAGACTTGTCCATGCCTAAGAAGCCCGTGCCTCTTTTTTAGAATCCCAAAAGGAACAAGTCAGGAAATAATAGGCCTTGATAACGCGGGCCCAAAGAGAATTCAGTTCAGAAATCAAACACCAACACTGTTTGGCCAGCAAAGCATCATTGAACTCATTAAAATTCCTGAATCACAAACCTCTCATATCCTTTGACAGACCAAGGACAGCCTTCGAAACCCATTGAGTCTTCCGCACCTTTCAGATACTCCCTCACCAAAAGCCAAAGCGTCTAACTCTTGACAGACTATAACAGTGAATTTAAAAATACTCATCAGGTAGGCAGGAATAGCTTGGACAACCGCCTTAATCAAGACTTATTTCCCCACTCTTGATAAAATACTTTGTTTCCATCCTTGCAAGTTGCCCAGTATTCTCCCCTTGACATAGGCAAGACCATGTTTCTTCGAACGCCCCATATAGCAAGTACACCCAAATATGTTCCTGGATTGTCAACCACAAGGATACCAAGAACATTAGCCAACTCGGCAGAACCCTCAAATGAATGTTCACCCCAAAGTAAACATTATACTTTTGCAAATTCACTT